CTTTAACTTTAAATGCATTCTCAAAGCCCCCCCCCCAAGCCTACAAATATAATTGGACAAATAAATATCATGATCAATATCAACCTTTACCCCTTTTGTTTTTATTTTTGGCAGTCTCATTTAATGTTAATAAAAAAGCAAATTTGCATATTTCCCAATAAAAACGTGTGTGTGTCACATTTGTTCGCGTCTTGCGGCTCTCAAACATCTGACGTTTATTCTATGTGGCTGTTACATTAAGCAAGTTTGGCCACCCCTGGTATAATGCGACATCATTGGGCACAGCTTGGGTGGGGCAGGCCACGCGAACGCAAAACGTGGCATCATCACGCTACAGGGAAGAGGAGTGGAAACCTGCCACTGGCGGGCTCTTTTCAGTCGCCATCCTCAATCACCTCCAGCCCCATCTTGCATTTTCGATCCTTTTGACATTTCTGGACACTGGATCGTTTAAATTTAGATCTCCACAGTCACCGGAAGCTTTGAAATCGAAAAAAACCGGGATTCTAAAAAGGTCTCGTGGGCGTCACAAAACCAAAGCCAGGAGCTACCACAGAAAACCACACCGGGGAGGGGAGGGGGTCTAAAGTCAGCCGGCCAGCCCCGGCCCTTCTCAACGGATGCAGGAGGACAGGGCTGGGCGCCTGGGGAGCGTGTTCCTAGGTCTACCACCGACTGCGTTCGGCTACTAACCATCTCGCTTGGGGACCCGCTCGGGCTGGCAGCTGGGGATGGGCAGAAAGGGAAACGGCGGCAGCTGGTCGGCCCCGTCCTGGAAAGCGGCCACGGCAGAGGACGCGAGCACGTTGGCATGCTCGGAGAACGTGTTCAGCACGTACGCGTTTACGTAGCCAGACATGAGATACCTAACCAACTCTATTTTTCTCTCATGGTCTGAAAAGGCAGTGATGGAGGTGGAGGAGGAGGAGATGGGGGGGCGAAGGAGGAAGGATGAGGCAAGCAGGGAGTGGCAAGGTGGAGGGGAAATGAAAAGGGGCAGGCACCAGAGATGGCAGTGGGAGGGGGACGGGGAGGAATAAAAACAGAAGAGTTCAACATGCACAGAAGAAAAAACAAAGGATGGTTGCAACAAACTTGGCTCAGTGACTATTAAGTGGGAATGAAGCGGAGAGTTTTAGAAAGTAGAATGGAGGCCTTGGGCTGCCAAAAATGGACCCAAGTGATGTGCCAGGAACAGGGAAGAAGCCAATCGGTTTACTTAGCGATCGTATTAGTGTCGGTGGGCAACTGAGGGAGACCCTCCCAACCTTCAGACATCTAACTGCCTGGTCCCCAGGTGCACAGGAAACAGACCTGTCGCAAAGTTGGGTTCCACTGCTTCCTATCAGCATCAAACAACACAGGTGTGTGGCCAGAGGGCTACCAATTGTTTTTGCCGGCTATTAACTCTCGCAGACTTATCTGTCAACTGGGACAACCTCAGGAAAGCGGTTTCACTTTTTAAATAATTTGTAGGGATCGCTAACAGATGATACAGGCAACCTGTATTTTGAGAAAGTGATCGGGGTGCTGATAGCAGAAATATTTCTCTTACCTGGCTTTGAAAGCGGCATGGGAGGAGGGAAGTACCGCCGGGATGGCTGATGGGGGCTGCGGAGAAAGGAAGCAGTTCATCCTCTGGGTGGATTTTCCCTTCCTTTTAAGGCAAACCTGAAGCAGCTGGCTGAAGAAAGCTCAGTGCTCAGCCCTGTGACCAAACTGCCTCTCCCAGCCCTAGAGTCTGCACGTGCAGATGCCACAGTGCTGCAGTGCCTTGACCTAGAGCTGTGGTAGCTGCAGAGAACACCTCTCTTGACTTGCCTTCTCGTTCTAGAAGAGCCAGAATTTTGTACAGAAGCGCCAGGGCAGCGTCAAACATAGGGCAGCACTAGAGGGGCTGCTTGCGACCCTCACTCCCACCTCCCCTCTCTAGCCTTAAAGAGCCAGTAGCCCTTTTAATCCTATAAAGGAAAGAACACGAATTGCTATGCAGCAGCCGGCTGGGCTGCGCTGGGCCTCTGTATTCCTTCCAGCCAGATAAAGTGAGACGTGCACATTCAGATACCTGTTGAGATCCTGTCCCTGCAGGTGGAGCGGATGCTGCTGGTAATGTCCAAAGACTTCAAATACGATAGGCTTTGTCTTGATGTATTCCACAAAGGATTCGGTCACTTCCACAGAAATCTATCGAAGGAGACAATGGACTTCATAACTAGGCAGGCATACAGGCGAAAGTGTCTGAGACCGACCAAGAGCAGCAGCCAGTTTTTCCGGGGGGGGGGGGGGGGGGGGGGAGAGAAGGGCAAGGCTGCCCTGACCTGGAAGTCTGGACCCTGGCTTTGTTCTGTACACTCACCGCTCACTTCCTTAAGGGCCACTCTGCAAAGCCACACTCATTCCCACATTTCAAGAACAGGCACCATCTCAGGACAATCTCACCGTTCGCTTGAGCCACGAGGCTTCACTTACATTCTGGACATGATAGAAACCAAGAGCCGTCCCTCGGCCGTTGTTCTTGAGGGGCTCCGTGGAGAAAGCTTCGTCGTGCCGATGCAGAAAGCTAGCACAAAGACACAGCGCGGACCCACTTTAGTTTGCCATCAGAAAACTCTCTCTGACCTTCCACTGCTGCTCTGAAATGGCAAGCTTAGGCACATCCCATCTTTCTGCAGGAAGCACTCAAGGGAGCACAAGTGGGCTTCCCAGGGGTTTCCCCTGGATCGGTCTCATTCCACCAAGCCTGCTGCCTCTTGTGCCCTCAGACCGAACCCTGGGACTAGATGGCTGTCCACAGAATCTGGGCGCTCTTTGTAAGCTTATCGCAGGGTCCCCCAGTGTAAAGGCAGAAAGGCTTCTCCAAAAGATAACCTGCCCAAGTAAAGGTAAAGGTTTCCCTTGCTCGAAAGCCAGTCGAATCCGACTCTAGGGATGCGGTGCTCATCTCCGTTTCCAAGCTGAAGAGCCAGCGCTGTCCGGAGACTTCTCCGTGGTCATGTGGCCGGCATGATTAGACGCCGAGGCGCATGGAACGCTGTTACCTTCCCACCAAAATGGTACCTATTTATCTGCTTGCAGTTTCTTGCTTTTGAACTGTTGGTTGGCAGGAGCTGGGACCAGAGAGGGGAGCTCACTCCATCATGCGGCACTCGGGTCTCGAACTGCCAAACTACTGACCTTCCGGTCTGCAGCTCAGAGTCTTAACCACTTGAACCTACCCAACCACTGGCTCAATAAGTGCAACAAGAGGGGGAATGCTGGGTGCATCCCGTTCTGGCAAGGTGACAGTGAGGCTCGAGAAGTGTGGCCAGTGCTGCTCATGAGCCAACAAAACGGACACATGGCGGCCCTATTCAGAGGCCAAAGTGAAAAGGGTTCCCCACAGCAACAGCTATTGCTCTAAGGCATCAGAAATCTCAGTCAGACCGCTCCCCCCCACCTCCTAACACCGCCTCCTTGACTGAGGACATTCAGACCTTCCCCTCCTACGTTTCTTTGCTAGGTTCAGTATTTTTATTGGGCCGGCTAGTACAGAAACTGCCCTAGAGTTTTATTTCCTTTCTGTTTCTTGTTCTGCTGGGTGGCCAGAACAGCTCCCAAGATTCTAACCCACGGATCGCCGAGGACAGGGACTCACTTGAACTGGCAGAATATGTCTGCGTATTCTGGGAGGATTCCGCTGGCTTGGAGAACTGTCACACGGAAAGTGAACACGCTGCCCAGCTTCAGGTGGTCGCCAGCCTCTTCTGTAAAGCCCTCCATGGCCATCTTCCCGTCTAGCAAAGAGCCGGACTTCAGGTCTGAAAGAAACATTTGCCCCGTGAGACACTGAGAGCGTTCTGGGGCCTCTGTACGTTTTGCTTAAATCTCTTTTTCAATGTCCCCCCCCAAGATGTTGCTGCACCAACCCACATTACTTGTATCTGGAAGCTATCTTTTGCTGCTCTTAATTAAAATACACCACCACCAATGCTCCCTCTAAGCTGCGGAGTCTTGTGAGCAAAAATTCTACTTTGTGAGCTCCTGGCATTAAAGCTGTGAGCGAGCGATTTGGCTGCTGCATGAATTAGTTTGCTCTGAAGCCCTCCTTCCTGAGCTGAGACAAAAATATGTGAGCCAGAGGCTAAAAAACTGTGAGCTAGCTCACCCTAACTCAGCTTAGAGGGAAC